AGGGGAGGAGGGAGGGAGGGGCGGAGGGATGGAGGGAGGGATGGAGGGGCGGAGGGATGGAGGGAGGGATGGAGGGGCGGAGGGATGCGGGAAGGGATGCAGGGAGGGACAGAGAGGAGGAGGGATGCAGACGGGAAGGATGGAGGGCTGGGAGCGGTTGGGTGGCGGACAGCACCATCGCGTGGCACTTGACCGCAGGGACAGCAATGCCAGCCCCTGTCCCCTGGAAGGGGAATTACAGCCAGCATCCCCGTGCCTCAGTTTCCCCCACCCCAGCACCCTGCACCGCGGTGCCCGGCCCCGGAAAGCCAGGGCAGCAGCCCCAGGGCCAGCTGTGGGCACGGCTGTGTGTCCCCATGGCAGGAGCTGGAGGACAGCAGAAGGGGAAGGGTTGGGGGACAGACAGATCAGGGATGCAGCGGGTGATGGGTGATCTCACTGCTGGGCAGAAGGGTCTGGGGGCTCCTGGGACCAGCAGAGCTGCTGCTGCTGCTGGTGGCACACAGATGACAGCGGGCCCTCAGCCCCGGGTTACCTGCTCACCTTGCTGCCAGCACGGAACACAGCCACTCCCGCTCCTCCTGCGAGCCCTTGCTCCGCCAGCCGTGTCCCTCCGGCCCTGTCAGGGCTGTGACCCCGCTGCTGACACCAACAGAGCCCAAACCCCCTCTGCAGATCATGTTATTGCCAAGAGAGCCCCTCAGGGCTGCCTGCTCCACAGGGGACCCGCCACTGACCACAGTCGCCACCGCCAGAGGAGCCAGCGCCTGGGGTGGCGACGGGTGGCCGAGTCCCAGACCACACTGGCCCCCTGCCCTGTCTGCTCCGAGGCTCCCTGGCACCTTGGGGACCGGACACACCTCTGGCAGGGCACAGCCGGGGGCTGGGGCTTTCCCTTTTTAGCTGCCCTGCTTGCAGGGACCGGCCACACTGCAGGACAGCGGCCGGCAGCCCTCCGCGGCCATGGAGCGGGCTCCAAACCTGGTAAGGTGCCTCCCCGGCAGCTCAGGGCTTGCTCCTCGTTTTCCTTCTCTAATAGAATGATTTGCATGCTTGTTTACCTGGGGTTGTTTGCTTTGGAGGTGCCCGCTGTGGCCTGCCAGGGCTCCCACGCCAGGCAGGGTGAGGATGCAGCAGCCTGGGAGAGCAAAGCCACGCCAGCCTGGCCGGACAGTCCGGCACCGAACGGGGAGAACAGCCCTGGCCGAGAGCTCCCTGCCCCAGGGCACTGCACACCCACGGGCAGGGCCTGGGGGTGCCTGGGCCACTGCAGGGACACCAAGAGCGGGGAGCAGGACTACAGAAAGCAACTTTGTTCCCTGCTGGGCAGCCTGCCGGGGGGCAGCACACGGCTGCTCGGCCCGGCGAGGCTGGAGGGAGAAGGGAAGGAAAAAAAGCATCTTTTCTCTCTCACCGTCCTTAGAGCACAGAGGGAGGGAGAGGAGGGTTTGGATAAAGATCCCATTCTTGACTGTCTCATCTGTGTAAGGCTCCTTTTAAAGCAGAGGCTGCCCAGGTACGGCCTGAGCTGGGTCCCTCCCAGCACGTACTGGGTGGGCAGGGAGGGCACCGGGCACAGCTCAGGCAGGGGCACTTTGGGCAGCACAAATTGCCAGCTGTGAGCAGGGTGAGGGACAGCCACACACATCAGCTTATCATGACTGTGTGCCCACCATCCCTGCAAACTACCCTCAGGTGTTTCTCACCTGCAGGCCAGCACTTTGGGCGTTGAATGTGCCACCTCAAAGTCAATGTGGTCCTGCCATCGCCTGGGGACCCCTGGGAGGAGGGAGAGCTCCCTTTCTGTGCCAGTCCTGCAGCCCAAGCAGCCACTCACCATCCTCCTTCTTCCTCAGCTTCTGCTCTGCATCTTCACCTTCGCCATGGTGCCGGTTCCTGAAGCCAAGGACCAGAGCAAGGCAGCCAAGGGCAGGAGAAGGGGCCTGGCACGGCCACCAACAGCCCCCCCTGCCCTGGCCTGGGCCCCAGATGACCCCTACACCAGCATGGCAGAGTACGAGCACAGCATCCAGGACATGGTGCGCCAGCTGAGGAACGGCTCTGAGCCGGGGGACACCAAGTGCCAGGTGAACCTGAGGCTCTGGAGGTCCAACCGGAGGAGCCTGTCCCCCTGGGCCTACAGGTGAGCTTGGGAGGGGCCTCGGGGACAGGCAAGGTGGCCCTGTGCCAGCACAGGGGCTGTGGCAGGATGTGATGCCAAATCCATCTCACCTCAGCCACCCACCTCCCCCATCAGCATCTCTCCAGCCTTGTCCTGCTTTCCTTGTCCTCCAGGATAAACCACGATGCCACACGGATCCCAGCAGACATCCCCGAGGCCCGGTGCCTCTGCACTGGCTGCATCAACCCCTTCACCATGCAGGAGGACCGCACCATGGCCAGCATTCCCATCTACAGCCGGCTGCCCGTGCGCCGCCTGCTCTGCCCGGGCCCGGCCGAGGCGGGGCACAGGCCCTCGGGCAAGAAGAAGTGTCACAAGAAGTACCAGATGGTGATGGAGACCATCGCTGTGGGCTGCACCTGCATCTTCTGAGGCTGCAAAGCTACCCCCTGCAGCTCCCTGTGGGCATCTAACCAGCTTGCTCTTGCTTAGCCCTTTGGGAGAGGCCACCTGGCTGGGCATCAGGGTCAGGGGAGGTTCCTGTGCAAGAGCTCCTCAAAATCCTCCTGCAGATTCCGTCACACTCAGCCCCAGCAGCTGCTTTGGGGACATCCAGTGCAGAGGCAGTCCCAGTCCCTGACATTGACTACCCCAGCCTGCAGAGCTGCTCATGGGCCCTCTGGCTGGGCAGGATCAGGATCAGGATCAGGATCAGGATCAGGATCAGGATCAGGATCAGGATCAGGATCAGGATCAGGATCAGGATCAGGATCAGGATCAGGATCAGGATCAGGATCAGGATCAGGATCAGGACCAGGACCAGGATCAGGCCTCCTCTCTTCCCGAAGTCCCCACTCCCCTTTGTTGGCTCCATCGCAGCAACAGCTCCAGCAGCACCCAGCCCTCCCATCCTTCCCAGCCCTCCCATCCTTCCCAGCCCTCCCCAGCTCTTCCCAGCCCTCCCCCAAGTTCCTCTGTGCCAGGCTGGGCAGTCCAAGGAGCGGGTGAGCTGCTGGTGGTTTGGGCAGCTTCTGAGGTCTCAATAAAGCGCATCGCTGTCCCTGGTCTGAGCTGCGCCTGCCTCGGCCCCTCCCGCTGCCTCTCTGCCCTGCCCAGCTTCTCCCACGGAGGCTCTTCTGCCCCCCAAACACAAGTCTGGACACCCCCAGGAACACAGAGCACCTGGCAGGACCTGTGACAGCCCTCCCTGCATCCCTGGGGCACAGTTAGCCTGGGTAAGGCTCCAGGCATGGGAGAGGCCGTGGGATCTCCAGCCCTAGCTGTGAGTTTCCCAAGGACAAAGCCAGGAAGGCAGGAGAGACTGGTGGGAACTGGGAAGCTCAAGGGGGACCCATTGCTGCCAGTGCCAGCCATCCTCACCCCTGAAAGCCCCTCAAGATCCCTCCCAAATACCCTTTTTTCAGGAGGAAGGCACAGGCTCCTTTCCAGTAGAGCCTGAGGTGAGGGAACAGGGAAACTGAGGCACACGGCACAGACACAGCAGCACTGGGCAGGAACTGTATTCCTGAAGGCCTTCAAGTCACCGGGACACAGCCTGTCCCTTGTCCCCCAGCCCCCCCTGGCCTCCCCAAGGCAATAAATACTCCCCAGACTACCACACGCCAAAGCTCCTGGCCCACCACCCCTCGCGGGCGTCACAGCTCCGTCTTCACCTTGTGCATCAAGTCCTTCTGGTCGATCTTCTCCAGGTCCTGATGCCAGCGGTTGTAGGCCAGCAGGGCCACGTTTTTGGCAGCCACCGCTATCATCTCCATGGAGCTGGCCACCCACTCCACGCCGCTGAGGTAGAAGAGGTTCTCATGGAGCACGATGGGCGGCAGGGCCTTGGCGGCGTCGTAGCGGGGGTACGCCGGCCACTCTGTCACCTGCACCGAGTAGTAGGACCTGAAGAGGGTCTTCAGCTGCTGCTTGTCCAGCGGCTGCTGGGACAGGACGCGCCACACCGCCGCCTCCTGGGGCTGCTTGCGCCGGAACGCCGCCGAGATGTTGACGGGGCAGATGTTGTCCATGGCGTGGAAGAACAGGTCAGGGGTGTCGGTGGTGAGGATGCTGGTGAAAGGGAACAGCTTGGGGTCGGGGAAGCCGAAGTAGGAGGAGTTGAGGTAGCCGTGCACCACGGAGGTGACCGAGGGCTGGAAGGCTCCGGGGAAGTCGGTGATGGGAGGGTCGAAGTTCTCGAAGGTGAAGTTGCTCCTGCTGGGATGCAGCGGAGTCGTCACCACCACCATATCGTAGAAAGCCGAGCCTTGGCCTTCGGTGCTCTCGTAGTGGACCTGGTACAGGGCTCTCCCCTCTGAAAAGAGACAGGGGACAGTCAGGAGCAGCCCTGAGCCTCGTTTTTCCAACCTGACCTCCATCCCTTCGTTTTCCAGCACACACCAGTGCTGGACCACAGCACCTGCTGGGTATGGATGAGCTGCTGATGCCTTAGGGTGGCAGAAAGGCTTCACTAAAACTCTGGGAGAATGTCTCCAGAGAAGGTGAGCCCAGCGGGGCCAAAGAGGACTGGGGAAACACAGCCCACAGCCCAGGCCCCAGGTATTCTCCTGCTGAGGTGGAAGGGGGAGTGAGCCTGTGACAAGGATGGTGCCACAGGAGATCCTGATGGACCTCAGGAGGGAGGGAGGGCAAGCTCAGGGCTGAAGTTGGTGCAGCAGGGTCCCCATTGGATCAGACAAAGGGAGGACAGACCCTCAGGCCCTCTCCCAAATGCCTCACTGGGACCAGGATGCCCTCCAGCCACAGCATTCCCATGCTGCCACCACCACCCTCCCACCCTGGTGCACCCAGAGCCACACCTGTGCCAAGCTCACCCGAGCTGTGCAGGGAGATGCCCGTCACCCTGGCTGAGATGACATTGGCTTTGGTCAGCTTCAGCAGACCCGAACACACCAGCTTATTCCCTCCTTCCACCGCCCAGGTGCTGCCCTGGGCTCCTGCCAGCGACATGGCCCCTGCAGAGAGGAAGATGAGGGTGGCTCCACAGCCTGGCCGCAGAGGGGACACTGAGGAGCGTCACACAGCGAGAGGAGGCGGCTTCACCTGCGAAGGCGGGCACCAGCACGGACTGGCCGTAGCTGGAGCGCAGCACGGCGGCGATGACGTCGTCCACGAAGCGCTGGGTGACACCAACCTCCAGCAGGGACTCGGCCACCGAGCGCTGGGTCATGTTCACGAAGGCCTCACCCCCCAGCGAGCGCAGCAGCTCCTCCAGGCTGGAGAAGGCGTAGCCGTGAGCTTGGTACTTGTAGATCCTGGAGGGGACAGGAGCAGGGGACAGCCGGTGACGCCCCGGTGCCAGGGAAACCCCCCCAGCCCCTCGGGCTCTCCTACCTCATGAACTTCTCCATCACCTCCTCCACCCACATCTGCAGGCGCAGGAAGCTGATGCCGTAGTGCCACCAGAGCCGGAAGAGGTTGAGCAGGTACCAGTCGGTCTCCTCCAGGACAAAGTGCTCCCCGCTGAAGATGGCGCTTTTCCCGGCCACCTCGCGCCGGTGCTTGAGGCCTGCGGGAGCAGAGAGAGCACGTGGCTGCCCCTCCCTGGGGCTGGCTGGCTCCTGGGAAAGGCCAGCGCTCCACACGTCCCAGCAGGAATATGGGCAGAGATGCTCTTGGAGGAGCATCAGGAATGAGAGACCCCAAGGCTCTTCCCAGTCACATCATGTGGGGTATCTCACGGAGCTGCTGCTGCCTACTGGGACACACTGGTAGTAGCTTGTGAACAACCCCCCAGCACCAATTCCACCAGGACCCCCTGATGGTAACCACCCCATCCCTTTCTCTCTCCAGGGCACAACCGGGCAGGGGTGCACGGACAGCACGGGGATCCCCACATGCCAGGGGTGCCAAGGGGGACTGACAGAAACCCTCCCAACTACCCCAAGCACAGAGCCCGGGGGTGTCCCAGCCTCCCAGCTCAGCGAGGGACGCCCAGTCTCACCCAGGATCTTGACGAAGTCCTGCATGTGGAGGCTGAGAGCGTGGATGGAGGCTCCGCGGCTCTCATACTGCTGCTTGTTGACGGTGACGGTGGCCAGGCGCCCACCCACGCCCGCCGCCTCGTACACGTCCAGCTGCACCTGCGGCCCGAAGTGCTGCTGCAGGAAATACGCGGTGGCCGAGCCCCCCAGCCCGGCGCCCACCACGGCTGCGGGCGAGAGCGGCGAGAGGCCGGGTCAGCAGCGCCCCGGGGCCGCCGTGGGGCCAGCGGGGATGGGGATGCAGGGATGCGGAACGCCGTGTGCCGGCCCCGGAGCGGCGGGGAGGCGGCCCGGTGCTGCCGGTCCCCCCCCGCGGGCTCCCGGTGCCCACCCCGGGCCACCCCAGGGCATCCCCCGCGTACCGATGGAGCGCGGCGCGGCGCGGGCGGCGGGCGCGGCCGGGAGCGCGGCCAGGAGCGCGTCTAGGGCCGGCAGCAGCGGCAGCGGCAGCGGCAGCGAGGCGGGCGGCGGGGCCATGGCGCGGAGAGCGGGGCCGGCAGCGCCCGCCCCGGCCCGCCTCTCCCGCAGGCTCGGCCCCCGCAAGCCCCGAGCCCGCCCCGAGCCCGGCACGGGCGGGGGAGGCGGCGGCGCAGGGATCGGGGTGGTGGGAGCGGCGCTGATGGGGGGAGCTTGGCACCGCTCGAGCATCCCCTGCCCTCCGCTCCTCACACATCCCACACAGCCGGGGCACGGCCCGGAGCGGCTCCGGCCGCACCGCGCTCCTGCTGCCCGAGCGCGTTTCCATGTGGGCACACGGGGGATGCTCGCAGAGCTCGGCCCCCGGACCAGGGGAGCGGGCTGGCTCCTGCCTGCCTCATGCAAGGGCGTTTCAAGCTTTCCCTCGGAGTTTGTGCCCCGGGCAAAAGAAGGTGCCTGACAGCGAGCGGTTTGTGCCAAGGGCATCCCACGGGAGCTCGCTGCTGCTCGGATTACAAAGGATAGCAAAAGGCTGAGCAAAAAACCCCGAACAGGTTGGACGTGTAATTACAGACCCAGGGCCTGTTCCAGCCCAGGGCTGGCTCTTTACCAAAGGACCGAATTTTGAGAATCCATCACTTGAATTTTGTCTCCGTGAAACACAACACAAGCACAGGCCCCTTCTTTTCCCCAGCCGGGAGCCACTTCAGACTTCCTGCACGTACAAGCCTGAACCTCAAGTGTGAATATTTGGGGTGGGCACAGACAAAAATTAACCCTTGCTCAGCTCCCCCTCACAAGGGGCAGGATCCCACCGGGATGTGGAGACGATGATCCCAAGCAGCTCAAAACACAGCACACAAATATCTTTGCGGCACGTCTTGGGTTTTAACAAGCTCTTATTTAACCAGCCTGATTTCCCCAGGGCTGTGGGCGACAAGAAATCTGCTGTGCACGCAGCAGGGCTCCCAGGCAGGTCAGCACTGCTCCCAGTCCCCACCCTGCTCGCAG